GGGGAGCGGGGGGAGCTCCTTGCAGAGGATGAGGTCTGGTGGGAGGGGAGGGTGGGAGAGGGGTGGGAAAGGTAGAAATAGAAATTAGAAATGGCGGAATAGAAGTAGAAATAGAAATAGAAACGCAGAAATAGAAATAGAAATCGAAATCGAACTCCGAGGACTTACCGATACAGCCGNTCGAAACGCAGAAATAGAAATAGAAATCGAAATCGAACTCTGAGGACTTACCGATACAGCCGATCCACTTGGCGACCTCCGCCAGAACCGCCTCCGAGAGCAGGTACTGCGTCACCGATTCGATGCACTCCTCCGGCGCAGAGCGAAGGTGATAGCGAAGATAGGGGCGCAGGTAGTCGGCCACCAGGCGCCGGCCCTCGGCCACCAGCTCGGCATTGTCCTCCACCGCCAGCTGGACGTCGGCGATGCCCAGCTTCGACTGCTTCGCCTGCTCGGCGCTGACGAAGGATCGGTGGGTGAAGGNCTCCGCGAGAACCGCCTCCGAGAGCAGGTACTGCGTCACCGATTCGATGCACTCCTCCGGCGCGGAGCGAAGGTGATAGCGAAGATACGGGCGCAGGTAGTCGGCCACCAGGCGCCGGCCCTCGGCCACCAGCTCGGCATTGTCCTCCACAGCCAGCTGGACGTCGGCGATGCCCAACTTCGACTGCTTCGCCTGCTCGGCGCTGACGAAGGAGCGGTGGGTGAAGGCCCGCGTGAGGGCCGCTTCGGTGAGCTGGGGCTCGCCGAGGCGAGCGGCGAAGGCGGCCACTTCGGCCGAGTAGGACCACTCTTGGAAGTCGGACCGAGGGACAAACGGCTGCTCGGGGACCTTGTCGAAGCGACGGCCGCGCCAGTACATCTCCCGAAGTGTCTTCTCCTTCCACAGCTTCATCAGCGTTCGGACCTGTTGGTGGTGGTAGTGAGGGGGCTGGTTGAAGGAGGTCTTTTGAAGAAGAGAAGGGAGTTTGTTGTGGCTCTGGTTCTGGTTCGGTTGTCTTGAAGATCCGCCTGAGTAGCTGCTGCTGCTGTTGCTGTTGCTGAACACTGAATGCAAAGACCGAAGCTGAAGATGGTGGTGGTGGTGATGGTGATGATAGAGGGCAAGCCGACCCGCCACCTTCGAGACCACCAGCTGAAGGTTGAAGGACATCGTCGTGAGGAGCTGAAGAAGGTGGTTTGGTGGTTCAAAACAAACCCGAAAAGAGAGAGTTCTTCAGCTTCAGCTTCAGCAGAGAACCTCGAAACAGAAAACACATGTGAGCTTCTTCGCCTTCTCCGGCTGTCGCCAGAGGGCGCCACTGCAGCTTTTTCTCTTTTCTTTATCTTTCTCTCTCTGACGTCACAGTTTGTGANAGCGGAGAACCTCGAAACAGAAAACACATGTGAGTTTCTTTGCCTTCTCCGGCTGTCGCCAGAGGGCGCCACTGCAGCTTTTTTTTCTCTCTCTTTATCTCTCTCTCTGACGTCACAGTTTGTGAGTAAGCAAAGTCGCTGGCAGGCGACCAACCAAACAAAGTCGCAGCAGCAGCAGCAGCATCTTCTGCACTGCAGAAGTGACAGTCATCCAACTCTCTGCGGCATTTGCCACCACCAAAGCTGCTACCAACCAACTACTAACAAAGAAAGACGCCACCAAAGAGTCCTGCGCNGGCATTTGCCACCACCAAAGCTGCTACCAACCAACTACTAACAAAGAAAGACGCCACCAAAGAGTCCTGCGCCTGATTGCTTCTCAAAGTTCGAAATATCTCCACGGGTAATAAACAACAACAATGGGTGTGATTGTGTGGGCCTTGCTTTGTATAGTGACCATTTTTTGCTTTCTTCCTTTTAGGCTTTCAACTTGGGAAGTGAACGTTCCGTTCTCGTTCTTTCTTTCTTCTGTGGTCAACCAACCAACCAACCAACCAACTTCTTCTTTCCAAATGGGTCTCCTAAGTGGCCTCGCCGGATCGCCCTTTGATCCGCTAGTCGGTGAGTTGCTGTTGTTGTGGTTGAGGTGTTTTGTTTTGATGGATTTACCACAATACTTTTACTACCATTTTCCGTTCTCTTCACCAGACAAAGCAACCTCGGAGGAGAACACCGCCGAGGACTGGGCGCTGATAATGGACATCGTCGACCGCGTCACCGTCGACTCGACCGGCGCCAAGGAGTGCCTGCGCTCCATCCTCCGCCGCCTCAACTCGCCCATTCCCGTCGTGCTGATGCAGTGTCTCACGGTAGGTCACATTTGCTTTTGTGGTTTTTATTTTCTAACGTTTTTCATCATCCCACCACATCAGCTCACCGACGCCCTCGTCAGCAACTGCGGCAAAAAGTTCCACCTGGAGGTGTGCTCGCGCGACTTCGAAACGGCCCTGCGCAACATCATCGCCTCGAAGGCGCAGCCGAAGGTCTCCGAACGCGCCCGCCTGCTGGTGAAGAAGTGGGCGAAGGAGTTCCGCCACGACCCGCAGCTCGCTCTGATGCCCGCCCTCTACGAGCGCCTGAAGAAGGAGGGCGTCAGCTTCGCCAGCTCGGAGCCGAAGCGCCGCGGCCCGGGGGCGATTGATCCGGCGGTGCTGAAGAACCCCGACGCCGTCAGCTCGGCGCAGGAGGAGGCGGACATTCTCAAGGCGATTGAGCTGTCGCTGAAGGAGACCAAAGGAGGCGG